CATACTGATGAATGATGTCCGTAAAGTGGAGCCTTCTGATATTTTACCAGTAGAGGAGAAGTTGTGGCATTAAATGTGGGGTTGCTAAAACATCTTCCTTGGTTCTTGGAAATAGATTGATTTTCAGCTTTTATAAACAAGTCAAATGTATCTAAACTTGCAGAAAATTGTTTCTGTCCTATTTGGAAATGTGCTGCACTTGCCAGGTGACACGTATCAGTGGCATAAAAGAAGTTGTATCTTTTTAAAATAAATAAGCTTTTGTGTATTTTTTGTACAGGGGGTATAGCAGGCGCAGCCTCGAGGATAACAGGGACCATCGCAAAGGGAGTCGCTGCAATAACCATGGATGAGGAATACCAGCAGAAAAGGCGAGAAGCCATGAACAAACAGCCTACGGGCCTGAAAGACGGGCTGGCTAGAGGCGGGAAAGGATTGGTTTCTGTGCGTTTCATTATTTGTCCAACTCTGCTTTTAATTAATTAGCAATAATGTTTCTGACTTTCTGAATGCTGTAGCGTGGCCGAAAATAAAGATGTTTCATTGGTCTGACGCAGTTTGTTTGTGTTTCAGGGATTCGTCAGTGGAATCACCGGGATTGTTACCAAACCTATAAAAGGTGTGTTTAGTCTCTGCAAATATATAGAGTTGCGAACTGTTTTTTTAATCTATGATAACAAGCAATGGTTGGGTTTGAAATTTCTAAACAAATGATCGGTTATTGTGCAGGGGCGCAGAAAGAGGGAGCAGCGGGTTTCTTTAAAGGTGTTGGCAAAGGTCTGGTGGGCGCGATCGCTCGACCGACAGGAGGCATCATCGATTTGGCCAGCAGCACTTTTCAGGGAATCAAAAGGTATGACTCTCTTTTCTGCTTTTAGTTCCCATCCTTATTGTTTCACACTGCTCAGGTAATTAGATTTTAAATACGCTGCTTCTCTAACAGAATTGTTAAAGGGAGACGAGCTTTTTTCCTCAGGTGGTCAATATTTAATTGTGACAATCTGCTGGTGACAACCTCCTCCACTTGTAAATATTTCTTTCCCAGACTTCTACTGTCTGAATGTCTCTCTGTACAGTGTAGTTTACAACGCTGTCCATCAGTTTTTATACATCTCATAAAGATGTGTGAAAAGCCCTAAATATAGCACCACTTTTTAACATTTAAAATGTTTGTACTATTTAAACTTATGCGGTGTGCTGTATGATTTCCTGTTGGTTTGGCAATAATGAGGTGGAGAAAACATGTAGTCTCCTAAACTTGTCAAGGCAATAAAAATGAGCATTTATAATAACTTGAATTATGACAAACAATGGTGGAACATTTTATGTTGCTGCAACGAGGAGAATGACAGGGAAAAACTTTAAAGTTCAGTGTTGAAGAGCTACATCCGTTAGAGTCATCTTAATAATTTGGACACAACTGTCTTATAGTTGTCAATAACTGTAAGCGAACTGTACTCTTGTTTCCTTAAACTGTGCTTCCTTTGGTAATCAAGGAAAATATTTGTCTGTCATATTGTCCGGCTTCCAGGGCAGCAGAGACCTCTCAAGATGTCATCTCTCTCCGTCCTCCTCGCTTCATTCACGAGGACGGAGTCATCCGGCCATATAAGGAGAGAGAGGGCATTGGGAGTCAGATGCTCCAGGTAAGTCTCCATTATATCTTTGGGTTCCTGAATATGATTGTTCTACATGTCTCCATATTTTTTGGGGGGAATTCACTCATAGTTTCAATTAATTTTCACCGTCATTTCATTGGTCCCTCATAATGTCTATCATTTCCCCCTTGTTTCAAAACAGATAATTAATGTTCTCCCCATAAAGTGTCATCAGTTTCTCATGTCAGGGTAGATTTATGCTGTTAGTAGTTGAGACCTTTGATGACAGTATGTCATATGCAGCATGGGTAAATGATTTCAGTAGAAGTGTAGGGAATGTGTGTGAAACAGCTCAGTTGGTAAAGCACACACACACACACACACACACACACACACACACACCCACACACACACACACACACACACACACACACACACACACACACACACACACCAGGTGCAGAGGCTGTTTTTCTGTTTATGTATTTACAAAATAATTAAACTTTGGTAGTGGAGAGATAAGTTTGTGCTCTGACTTTAGTGTGAGAACTCTACAGTTGTGAGATTTTTAGCCCATCTCCAAATTGATTAGGATTTTGTAAACGTTTTCCAAGCCTTTGAAAATGGTCTATTCTATTTATTTATTTTTAATATGGCTTTAGACACCAAGTTCTAGATTGCTCTGAGGCTTTTCCTGTCTCAGTTTAAGAAGCTCCAGTCCTTCCTGTTCTGACCCTCGTCCCTCTCTCTTGTCATGTTCACAGAGGCGATTGGCCTACATTGAATGGAGTAAAAATAATTACTCCGAGGATGAGGATGATGAGTAAAACAGCTAAAATCCACCGTAGCTGTGATGTAGCGTAGTTCTGGTGCTTGTGCATAGTCTGTGCTAGAGAGTTACAGATTATAATACATGTTAGTTTAAACTGTTGAATTTTTAAGATGACCTTGGAGGAATGTAAGATTGTAATTTTTCATTGTTTTTCATTTTTAAATGTTTGTTTTGTTCCTATTGAGTCAGTATCATTCATTTAATCATTTATTTATCCATTGTTGTCAGATTTATTTTTGTTCCTATTTTTTTTTGTCAGTCATTATTTTCTTCCTTAGGTTCTGTTTGAGAAATCTTTCATTATCAGCAGTTTTGACTTTGATTTTGTTGCTAATAAAGGATTATTGAAATTCTAGCCTCCATTGTCTGTTTCCTCCCATCTATTCCCATCACCCTTTGCTCTTTTTTCATTTTCCAAGTTTTCTCCATATTTTCATGCACTCATTTTGCTGCGAACCTTGCCGCTTCATTCCTGCAGTTAGTTCATCATATTTTAAATCATCTTGCAAACCTGCAAATAATTTCTATTTAAAAAAAAAAAAACACTTTTTCTCTTTGAAACTTTTTTTTCTCGCAGACAATTGAAAACGGACGTTTTGCCAAGTACAGATACTTTGCTCATGCCAAGATTAACGAGTCAGACTTCTTCATGATCACCAAGAGGTAAGCAGCTCTTTTATTAGATCGATCTATTAGATCGATCTAATAAATTTATTAGATCGATCTAATTTATTAGATCGATCTAATAAATGATCAATCATTTATTAGATCGATCTAAATGAGTTGAGTTTGGGAACTGCTGGTAAGGCTTTTCCATCTTCCTCACTCACAAAATATTGTCTTGTCCCAAAAGGTTCATCTCTGATAAATCCTGTCCTCCTCAAAAGTATATTTATAATACTAAGAATTAGAGCAGAAAGCTCTAATTCTGCTCTAATTAGAAATATATATTCTAGAATATGTATTCTACAATATATTCTACTCATATTCTATGAGTAGAATATTTCACAGCTTTTGTTCTTTTGACTCGTTTTAAGCACCTTTATTGACACCACACTTGTACCAAACTGGCTCATTTTGTTGATTCTGCCTTGCAGAGGAATATTTTTTGTAACTAAAGGCACCTTTGGTCAGCTGACCTGCGAGTGGCAGTATCTCTTTGAAGAATTCACAATGGACCCAAAGATTGTTGGTGGACGTCGACTCCGGATTGAAGCCAAGGTATGAACATTATTTTTTTGTGTAGTTAAAAGTTCACAACATGCCTACATAAATCAAATTCCAACTCTAAACATACAGGAAAGAGTGAAATCAGTCTTCCATGCCAAGGAGTTTGGGAAGATTATAAACTTCAAATCGCCAGAGATTGCCCAGGTAAGCTGACAGTTCTTAGGAGAACAGGGAGTCAAGTTTGACAAAGGAGTAAAACTCATTTATTCCGACTTCTGATTTCTTTTTCAGTGGGTTCTCAACAAACTGCAGGATGCCAGAGATCGTTTACCTAAATACTAATATTGAAGACTAAGATGTGCTAAAAACACACATGATCTCTGTGTGTCAGTGCCTTTGCTCTCGACTGCATGCCTGATTTATGCCTCTACATGTGTAAACGGCGCAATTTTTTTTGTTGTTGAATGACTGACCGCATGAATTCAGGAGTGAAAGATTGAAACAGGAGTTGTATTGTTAAACAAAAAAAAAGTGCTATTAATGTGTTTTTGAATTACACAATTTCACTGCAGAATCTCAGAATTCATTTCATTAATTGCACTCGTTCTTTCTGCACAAGTATAGCTTCATTGGTCTTTTTGACCAAAGCAACATTAACCTGAAGTTTACCTTCACATTTTATAACATTTAGTCTAAAAAGCCGGGGTTTTTCAAAACCTTTTAGGTGTCTTTAGTTTTATTTTTCGCTGTCGAATGCATCATGTCATTGAATTTATTCCTTTTTGTTATGAATTATGGTTTCATTTGTATGAAAATGTAGAAATGTCACTGGAAGCATCCAAAAATAACAGAGGCCAAATTACCAAATGCACATTTAAAGTTGTTAATTATGTTACAGATCACATAAAAGGGAATCAACATCTTACTGTAACATCATTATAGTTCAGTGTTTTCCTTTTTCTTCTTTAATGTTTACTTTTTTGATACACATTTTCCAAGAATTAGTTGGATTTACAGATGCATGCTATTTTTATACTGTCCTCTGTCTGTATGTTCATTTAAGTTACTTTGATATCATCAAGTCTGTGGAATTCAGATGGTAATGTTGCTTTCATGTTTTTGTACTATATATATATATATGCAATGCAAACTTTACAAAAGAAATATGCAGAGAAAAATGTACTTAAAAATAAAGGAGTTCTAATTATACCTAGCTGCTGTTTTCTCTAAGATTCAGGTTTTCCTGTGTCAGCGAAGAACAAAACTAAATATTTTTGATGTCATTCTTACTTTTGTTCTCCCTAATTTTTATTTTTTTGAGAGGGTTGACTGAATGTTTTTTTTTTCATGCTGTTTTCACAGAGAAACAAAAAAATAACTGTCAGTTGCATTCTTAAATTTCAGTGCCATCTTTATTCATCTATAGTACCAAGAACATGTTTCTACTTCTCGGTTTTTACAACAGTATCCAACAAATAATATTTCCATTGCTACTTAAACAAACAGGCAAATTTCCTATAAGTACATCACAGATTATGTACACCTAAAAAAGATAAACGTTCTGAGTACGTTAGCCTCTTGCAGCAAAATCTGTGCCTAAAGAAACTAAATGGGAATATATTCCGTCTTATATCATTTTGATTTATATTTTTAAAGAATATTATTCACACATCGGGTAAGTCGGCTAGTTTCCTCTCTAGCATTCACATTCTTACTACAGCTTTAACGTAGCCTATACAGCAGACCCGAAAAGAAAAGATAAACTTCATCTATGCAAAATTACGGTTCAGGCAGAATGTCCTACACAAATCATTGTTTAGGACATTCTGCCTGTTTAGGACATTAGCTCTGCTAAATTGGATCTTGTGTTTTTGGGATAATATTTGATCCAGAACATCTTTTACGTGAGATATGGGTGAACAGTTGCATTTCCTTTAATTTCACTAATTTCTTTAGTGGTAGTTACACCAGGTTGAAGTCCTTCAGATTGGCTGTGAGGATGGTGTCTTTCACGGCCACAAAGACGAAGCGGATGTTTTCGGTGTCCGTGGCGCAGGTGAAGTGGGAGTACAGCTTCTTGTCTTTGTTGGGATTTTGTTCTTGGTACATCTTGAGGATGAATTCTTGAGCTGCTGTTGGATCCTGCTGAGGCCCTGCAAAGGAGAGTTAAAAAAAAAAACAAAAAAAACACCTGTAACTATGAGATGAATCATAATGTGGTTCTGAAAACACAGTTCTTGCAATTTAGATACACTTTCCTGACTCAAACTCTGGCATTGATTCATGCCATCTACTAACCAAGGTGTCAGACTGGATTTAATGATGAGTGAATAATAAATCTGACCTGTGAATTCAGGGAAGTAGGTGGCTAAGTGAGAGTATATGATCTTCTCCTTGAGGATGTCGGTCTTGTTGAGGAAAAGGATGACAGAGGACTTCTCGAACCAGGGGTAGGTGATGATGGTTTTGAACAGGGCTTTGCTCTCCTCCATGCGGTTCTAAATAAGGTGTCACAGTGAACATGCGTTTTAAACTCGCGCTTCAAAGGGGACAGGACATCAGAAGGCATAAAACATTACAAATTATAAAACCTAAATATGCTTTGTCACTGGTTTGAATGGTTTTAATCTTTTTTAATGTGCTTTTCTTTTTTGTCATCAAAAAACTGATTCTCTTCATGTCTGAGCCAAATAAAAAAAAATTTCACCTATCTGGCTCGCTAATACAAGGTAGGCTATTTTAGTGACGCTGTCGGGAGGAATGTGAATGTTGTCTGACAGTTTTTGCACAGCAAAGTTACCAGGATGTGTGGAACCTGAGCTCTGACATCATGGTAGAAATTAGAGGCAGACTTGGCTCATGACAGCGCTTTTAATTCTCCCAGTCGGATGCCAGTTTGTTAAATCTCCAAACTGGTAGTCATCAACATTTCTGTTAACGTTCTCCTCACTTTACAAATGAACATGCAAATCTTGGCTTCTTGAGCTAAAACTTGAAACGGAGACATTGTTCACTCTTATTTCTCAGTAGGATGTCATCTCATGCACTGATGTTCAAGTTTAGCATTCAGATATATCAGGGTTGGGGTTTTTTTTCCGTTTTTTTTTATTATTTTTTTTACTTTTGTTGTATGACAGTTGTGAGCGGCAGGACTGAACTCGACAGAAAAGGGAAAAAAAGTAGCATAAATGTGTTAACGCCACTTTGCCTCAGGCAGGAGTCTCACCTCGTTGTCGCACTCCGCCAAGACCTGGTCGTACTCGCTAAGCGCCACCAGGAAAATGATGGAGGTGACGTTCTCAAAGCAGTGAATCCACTTTCTCCTCTCCGACCTCTGACCTCCAACATCCACCATCCTGCCAGAAAAACAGCCACGATGAGTACACATGGCGACGGCCAACAGTGGAGAGAGACATTGTAAATGAGTTTACCTAAAAATGACGTTCTCCATGTCAAAGGGATACTCAATAATTCCTGTTGTTGGCACTCGGACTCTGAGGATATCCTGGAGGTCTGGCAGGTAGGAAGGCTGGGAAATCCGATCCAAGTCGGTGAGATAGCTGAAATTATTTACAGAAAGGACATTATGAGCGGTTGAGTTAAAAAGAACGAGCGGAGGGTTTTTAAAAGCCAGTAGCCCAAACAGCATGCAGCTCTCAAAACACTGACATATTTGATTTAAGAGCCGTTTAATGGAAACTTCTGGCAGAATCAACAGACGACAGCTTTGTTGCATTACAGAAGTGGAAAGGGAGCACATTTTAGTTAACATATGATTTGCATTTCCAAAAATAAAAGCCCACTAAAAAAGAAAACTACCTTTTTCTCTTTTCAACTCAGTAGTCAATTCAGAGAAAGGTTTTATTAGGAATAATTTCGGTTCCACTATGAGTGGGAGCTCATCTGCATGGTCAGAATTGGCCTTGCGTGTTCTATTTAAAGCTCCTCTGTATGTTTTAAAAACATGGGAACAAACATGACTCAGTTGTGTGGCGTGAATGAAGCAGCAGAGATCCGGACTTTATTTGGTAAAGATCCGACATCATCTGCCTTGGATGTGATTATTTCAGACTGAGTTCACCAAAACCAACAATACAGATTCAATAGTTTTATTTTGGTATGCTGCAATGGCAGAATCTGGAATTTAAATAGAAAGTAAAATTTTTAGGAAAGAAAAAAATAGAGATATTCTATAGGTTGTTTTTTTTTAGTTCTCTGAATTAACATTTCTTATGTTGCTACTAATATATCTTTAAAAATCAGAACGCTGCATAAAAGCACAATATCTATTACCAGTCATTTTACAGGGATTCATGACGTATAAAATAAAAATATTTCCAGCTGTTATCTTTTGTGTTTTTATCCAAAACCCAAAATTCAGTATCTCAGAAAATTATTACAACAGACCAATCCAAGTCTGATATTTTTAGGACGTCAGGCCTCTGGAAAGTACAGCTGAAACCAAAAATTTACATACATCACACAGAAAGACACAAGGTTTTTTTTCCTCGAGTACTCGCTGCCAAATGTGCTAATGGTAGAGAAACAACTCCACCATTACACTATCACTGGCAGCTACGCTGACTAGCTTCAGCGTTTATGGCAAGCTCTGCTAGCTATAGCTCAGCAGAGATAAGGAGAAGGTCAAGAGAGGGGATGAGCTGTGCCACATGGAGGAGTGATTGACAGCACTAAGACCCTCCTCCTGGCTCTGATTGGTTGTTTCTAGTTTGCACTGGGAGAGGTCAAAAGTGCCAAAGTACGACAAAAAGTATGTAGGCAGTCTAGCAAAGTTTGGTGTTTCCTGTCCTAAATTCATACATAAAATGTTCAGAAACATAACAGCGGCCATTGTTTCCTGTGCTGAGTACTCGGGTTAGCGTCATGTGCTGTAAGCAGCTGCAAGGTGAAGTTCTCACTATTTGGTGGAGTCGGACAGCTGGTACTCCCTGCGCCGGTCGTAGCAGTCCTGGATTCCAGAGTCGTTCCACAGGTTCCTGATAGCAACAACAAGGTTCTGATCCAACTCCTCCACCTTGTCCACCTCCACCTCCAGGACTGAGTTTGCATTGTTCTGCAACAAAGAGGAGAAATGATTGACTTGTCATGGATTTATATGTATAATATATGTTTTTTTTTTAGTTTTTTTTTTTATTCAGACTGGTTTGTAACCCACCTGGTTCTGCGGATCAGAAAAGGATATGCCGAGCGGCCCCATGGCTCGGATCATGGTCTGCATTGATGTGTAGATGTTCTGGAAGACCAGCTTGGCGTAACTCCTCTTGTCCTCGTCTGTGTAGCCCCCTCCATGGATGATCCTCATCTGTTTGATAAAGGTGCTCTTTCCACTCTCACCCGTGCCTGTTCAGAGACAAAGGAGGCATAAAATTAGTTTTATTTTGCTACTTTTGTTGAATATTTGCATTTAGAAACTGAGATATGGGCTGCAAACCTCAGAAAACTCCTAATTTTCTCAATGTTTGGCCTCTAGTTTCAGAAAATTGCCTCTTTTATTTACTAAAATGTTGAATTCAACTGAATGTTGAATTCAATTACAAAAGGTAAACGTTCAGTAAGTTAATCTGTTAAATATCATAACAATATAATGAAAATTGTCCTTTTTTATTGTCCATCTCTTCAACAATTAAGCAGTTTATTAATGGAAATATTATTTTAGTTACACAGTGACACAGTTGGTAGCACTGTTGCCTTGCAGCAAGAAGGTCCTGGGTTCGATTCCCGGCCCGGGGTCTTTCTGCACAGTTTGCATGTTCTCCCTGTGTGTGCGTGGTGCATCCAGCTTCCTCCAACAGTCCAAACATGACTGTCAGGTTAATTGGTCTCTAAATCTTCCTGTCTGTGTCTGTGTTGCCCTGTGAGGCGACCTGTCCAGGGTGACCCCGCCTCTCGCCCGGAAGGTTAGCTGGAGATAGGCATCATTTTTAAAAACTGTAAATCTGTAAGGAGGTATTATTTTCAGAGTAGAGACAGTTTGTTTAAAGAGTGAGAGTGCTCATAAATCTTATGATAGATTTTATTTTCAAGAAATAATTGGGAACTCAGCAGAGTCTAATCCCAATCAAAACAAGCAGCAAGAATTATTGTAAATTGTTCTTGGTTTACAGGAAGTAAGAATGTAAAAAAAAAAAAAAAGTATTTATATTTTTTCATATACTCAAACATCTATTGTATAAACATAAAATGCTCCAGCAGATTTAACCAAACTGTTTGACCAATATTTCTGAGAACTGATTGTTTCTGTGAGCTGAACTCCATAAATTTGAATTTCTTGCCTTTTCCTGGAGAAACTGGATGTTTTTGTGTTTCATTTTCCCAACATATTTCTGCAGGCTGGAAGAAATATTAATGTTTTGAAGTGGCCCCGTCAGATTCCAGATTGAATCTCTGGTTGGAGTTAAATATTAGTGCGATGGCAAGGAGACAGAAGATAAGGCAGCGCTTGGGAAGCTGTAAATACTTCAAGTCCAGCGTATTTCACTGGCGCTCCGCACACACAGCCACTCTACAGACTCCCTGCAGTCATAATAAAACCATGGCTTATTTTCCCGGCCCTTTCTGAACACAGTAAGTGCCAGTAAGTACATAGTGCCAGGTTAATGTAAATAAATAATGAAAAAAAAAAACAGGTTTTATGACAATGTTTGACTACTAACTTGTCCAGGCAGGAATCTGCAGGCAAACGCAACAATTTGAATGCAGATTTGACTGCCAAACAGGCTCCAGTCTGCTAATATTTGGGTGTAGGAAGTTGCTGTCGACTCGCGTCATCCAAGTTGCAGATGATTTGAATCCCAAGTAAGAATGCTTTCAAGTGATTACTTCATACCAGACGACCTCAGCCTTTCCTCGGTCATTGAGGAGTTTTTTAAAGCCCAGGTCGAGGGAGAGCACAGCTACGCTTTCATAACAGGTCGAACTGGTTATTGTAGTTCGACACGATCCTCATAAACTCTAATACCGCTGGACAGTGAAATATTTTAAGTGCAGTCAAATCATTTATCCTACATTGACCACTCACACTCAGCTTTTGTAACCAATGACAAAATCAGCCTGGCAACTTGCTTTGAATGCGGACATCACGGTTTCAGGCAGCTGGTGTCACTTCTGGCTGCGGATCACTACACCCTGAATGCTCCAACGCTTCATCAGATGACTTGCCATCTGCAGATTCACAAAGTTTTCAAACAAAGTCTATAACTGCTTTCAAATTTGAATCCATTCTAATATCTTTATTTAGATCAAGTGGACACTCGTCACCGATCAAATCAATTTAAAGATGAAAACTGCAGCGGGTCTGAGTTCCTTTTCCAGAAGTTTCCATGTCTTGTGTTCTGCTTTGCATGGCGTCGGAAAAAGTCCACTCTCTACTTCTCAGCAAGCAAACTTCAGCCAAATCTTCTGCATTTGAATGTACCTTGTTTACAAGTCAAGTTTCCCGGAGGCGAGGCAGAAAAGGAGGCAAATTCAGACGCTGCAGCGCTGGATACGCAATTCAGGATGAATCAGACTTTTTAAACTCTGCTGCTGGTGGTCACCTGAATGACTGAGGAACGTGACAAGATTATTTTGTAAAAATAAGATTAAAAAAAATTGGTGCAGAGTGAAATGTAAATAAAAAAAATTGGCTTGATTTACAAATAATTTCCACTTTTAGGCTGATTAAAAAAACAAAACTTTCAAAACAGATAACTGGTTAACCCCTAAATGATTCTTTCCCCAGCCAGATTTAGATTTTAAATGCTATTTAAAAGGAACACAAAGCCTTAAAAAGATATTTTAATTAAAAAATGGTATAGAAATCTGAGAGATGAGCAGAGAAATGGAATAATCTCTAGCAAGGTTTGTGACTCAAGGTAAAGGAGGATCAGGCTGATAAGAGCCTCCACCAAATGCAATAAGTGAATATTTCCACCAGCAGAGAGCAAGAGGACAAACCTCATGTTCACAAGCGCACAAACCTCATTGCCCGCTGGGAAACTCTGCTTTTCTGTGCAGCTCAGTCGGAGATTTCATCAAAATATCCTCAACCTGAGGCCTCCTTTTTTCTGCTTCAGAAATTCTAAGAAACCAAACAAAGCAGCTAAACCAATAAAATCTCTACATCCGTCAGCAGAAAGAGAAACATTGCACCAGCTGCTCATCATCCCAGAGAGCACTGGACACATTCTGCACAATAGTGGAATAAATGCACATTGTTAAAATCTATTACCTGCTGAGGTCCAAACTTTAATCTTCCAGGTAAACACAATAATAATAGGAAAACAATCACATGCATTATTTCCAAAGTGCTCACGATGGTAAATGTTTAAATGATTTTGAAGTTATTGCACATTTGTTTTTCACGTGTTTGCTCTCAACATTGGTTGGACTTTTGGAATCAAACATGAGATCCAGATTGGAGGCATCATTTACTAAACAACTGCCCTTGTTGATCGTCTGTTCTTTTTGAACCTACTTGCAGACTTATAAGGCTTTATGGATGACCATCAGCATTATTATTTTGCTTATTGTATTTATGAAGCAACAGGTTCATATTTTATCCCGCAAAAGAAGTAAAGCGACTAACAGAAATGTCAGACATTTTGAAAGTGTAATGCAATATTTAAGCAGAATTGTAGTTGTGCTTGTTTGTGTTTATAGTGCATGCGTGTGTGTGTGTGTGTGTGTGTGTGTGTGTGTGTGTGTGTGTGTGTATGCCTGCCTGACACAGTTTCCTTGTGAGTAAAAAGTGACTTGTCCACATCTGCCGATGTCCCTCAGCCTCACAGCTGCACACACTTCCTCGATAGGGAAGCACAGTCAGTGTGAATGATTGTCATTAACATACCAGAGATAAGAACTACTACTGGATGGCCACATCCTGCCTGCTATGTTCTGTGCAAATGAAACTTGTCAGTCAGGTGGGATTTTCAGGCAAATGCGGGATGCAAAAGAAGAAGTCAGTACAACAAACTGATTTTTCTACAGTCCAAGCTGCGCTGTGCTCCAAGATCAAAAATGTCCCGATGTATGATTTACATAAATTCATCTGACAAAATATCTATTGTGCGGCTGGACTTCTGGCAGCAGTGGCCAGGCGGCTCACCGGGCCGAGGCCTTGTTGAAGTACAGGGATGAAGCAGACATTTAAAACCCTGCTGCAATCCACGCCCCCAGTATTTGTGTTGATTCATCACTTTTGTTTTTTATGCCTGTTTTCTGCTATCTTATTTGCATTTTCTTTGCATTTCCCAGAATCTGGGCTGAAGCTCAACTTATCGACCTTTGGCCTTTTCAGGTACAAGGCCACTGAAATAAATGACTTCATACATGACTGTGTTGTTTTTGTTCTGCTTCACTCCGCCCGGGCTCTCTGTAGGCCTGTGACCATCTTAATGAAACCCACTGAGAGCTCTGAGTCAGTGACCAGTTTAATGAGTGAAAATGCAGGCAAGACACTGAACAGTACAACTTAGCATCTGTGTTCAATGTCCAAAGCAACGACTTCAGAGGGTGAAAACATTGGTTTTTGTTTTTATTTTGACTAAATAGCTAACCTGCAAAGTGACCTAGAAAGATGTCTTTTTTTCTGTGAAAGTTGTTCTTCCTGTTTCTCACATATCTTGTCTGACTCCTTTAGGTTTCTTATTAATAGGCAGCGCCTGTCAGTATCACAGAGGGATTTTTTAGGCTGCCTTAAACCTGAAGTATTATGATGTCTAATCATTTGTTGTTCGGCTGCCCACTCTGCTTTAACAGTTTGACCCTTTCCCGACAAACAGTGGGTGCTAACTTGCGGCTCATGTTCTGCTCCGTGGTGGGATTTGCATGAGTTTTGCATGAGGTGCGCCCGCAGCAGCTAGTTATGGCTCTGATGCGCGGCATAGAGCAAGGCGTCGGCACGGTGGTGGTGGCTCTCGGCCTCTCCCACACCACTGCAGTAAAACGCAACGAAACTGATGCAACAAGCCTGTCGTCTCTGTGACTGTCGGGCTCCAAAGGAGCAAACACTGTGATAAGACGTGGGAAAATCAGAAGTGGACAAAGACAGTAGTGTGCACAATTAGAAGGAGTCTGATCACCAGCTGCACTGTAAAAATTAATTCGGGTATTAAATGTTAGCCATTTAATTTATTTAATCGTCCTTTTGCTTATATTTTCTGTGAGTTGTAATGTGAATGAGAATATTATATAATCTGTAAAAACAAACACTTTCATGAGACGTGGCTAGTTTAGCTGTTTTATCGACGGCTAATGCCAGCAAGCAAGTGGAAGTTACTAACCATGTTGGAAAAAAAATTTGAAAGCTTCTAATTATTTCAATAACATTTTAGAAATGAATCACACACCAATCATTTTCTTTTTGTTCTTCACATTGGAGGACAGATCACACTGTAAAAAGACATTTGGAAGGTAATAAATATAAGATCATTTTTTAAAATATCAGATGAGTTCAATCTTAGCAATATTACTATTTTGCTAAATATAGACATTTTAAGTAGAATTTAACTGCTTATGTTGATTTTTATCATCTGCTTTCCTCATTTGTTCTTTGGACTGATTAGCTTAGCGATGGCTAATCCTAAAGCAAAATTATCTGAGTCAAGTGTTGCCAGTAACCGGCACAAATGTCAATATGTGATCATCATAAAAAAGAAAGGTTTCATACATGCATTTTAGCTCTAATTCCTTAAGCACAAAGTCGTTTCTTTTTAACATGGGAGAATAAATCAGATGATCAAAATGATACAACTTATTACTTTCAAGTTGGCTAAGCAGAATGAGTCGATCTTCTGAATCAGTTGTTAAACTTACAAAATGTACTTTTAGAAATATTAAACTCTAACCAAATGAAATACATGTACATTGTTTATGAAACTCTTACTGGATGCATCACATGAAGACACATTTGCAAACATTTCCATAAATTACATTGAATCCCAATGACAAATGCCTTTTCTCCAGTGATATTAATATGAAATTATTTCTAGATACTGACTACTGCTTGGTCTGGACTATTTTCTTAGTTGTTCTTTGGCTTTCTAGCTAAGTTCACTCCAGGAAAAGATAACAGCCCAACCACGTTTCTCCACTTCCTTCCTGAACAAAACCAAAATTCTCCCAACACGCAGAACAGAACTAGCAGAAGCTATATATAATCCTTAATAGATATATACAAAAATATATATATAATTACTGTGTTACGCACAGTTTATTTTTTACTGTGCGTAATTACAGAGTAACTACGCAGATCTTTATGGCTACACATATTAACCTATTAACCCACTTCATCTTAAAACTGACTTTGGATTTAATAAAAGCTTTCAGGTCTAATAAACTGATATAGTTCATCCAGTTAAGCTCATTTCTGAAAGCATCCTCATCATGTCTTCGTGTGTTTTGGTATCTTTTGCCCAACTTTCCCTGAAAATCTGCGTGTGCAGGTCCACACCCACAGGGAAGTTTTTAAGGAATCCACTTAAGTAGGAAAGCTGTTAACAATGTTTTAAAACGTTATTGGACTGATTTTCTCTTTTATAGGCTGCATGTGAAACAGATTCGGTTTGGTGTCACTTTCAAACCACTGCAGATTAAACCCTGAATTTTTCTTTTCTTTTCCTTTTTTCCTGATCTGTAAGTATGTTTTCCTGTCCGCTCCTCTGCTCGGGGCCCCGGGCCCTATTGCGGGCTTTGCTCACCTAACAGCAGCAGCTTCAGCTCCCTGCGGGAATCCTTCTTGTCCCTCCGCAGCTGCTCCTCTATCGCGTCGTTGATCCTCCTGGTCTCTCGGTCCTCCGCCGACGCGCAACACCCGGCCATCCTCCCCAGCACTGAGACGCAGGCCCCTATGGTGGTGGACCAAGTTAGGGCGAGAGAGAAAAAAAAAAAAAAGTTTTGGAGTCTTTGAGTGAGGTGGGAGTGGAGGGGGTGGGGTGGGGGATCAGGTTCACACGGCTCACAGCTTCCAGCTGCAGGGAGAGTCGAGCATCATCAGAAGGAATGAATGTTATCCTTTATAAAAAATGAAAATAATAATAATAATTTTAAAAAAGTTTTATCAGCTGAGAAATGTTCTTATTCTCCCAGCCGTGACTTCTTCTGAGGTTCTGGAGGACAAAGTGCAGCTGTTGGTCTGGAGCAGAGAGATGGCTGCTCAACTTCCCCCCCTGTCCAGTCAGAAGGGCGTGGCACTGGCCACAAATAGAAGAGGATAAATGGGAAGCGAGCCTTCAGACTTTCACCTGTTCAGCCTCTGCGTGGAGAGCTCCGCGTGCTGTGGGGGTGACAGCAGAGACCCGGCAAGAGGTGAGCCACGTGTTAAAGATGCAACTTTAACGCCTAACTTCATCTGCAGAGACACAGAGGAGCAGACTTTCTCCCCACAGCCACAGTGAGGTGAAGGACACAGAAAGCGGCTTAAATGAGTTCCTCAAATGGCCGCTAGGGGTCAGACTGGAGAAAGAGAGGAATAAAATGCGCTGTTATAAAACTTGTTTCAGTCGAAATGTGAAGAGTGACGTTTCATACATTCATTAGTAATAATCAAGATGATTTTTTAAAATTTTTTTTACCATGAAACCAACAGGTGAAAACTAACATTCCCAAAGACCAAACATCAAAACTCTGCAAGTGTCAAGAGCTTTTAACAAAATGGTCAGCAAATAAATTCAATATTTATGTTGAACAAAAATACCTGAATCCTTAAGATTATGAAATAGCCTTCACCTAAAAACAATTTTATGGAAAAATGCTTCAAAATTCATCTCAAGCGGGAGACTTTAAACCGACCAATAAATAAATAAATAATAACGTGTCAGAGACAGAGTTTAAGAGCAGTTCACAGGAACTTCTTTTTAATCAAACAGTTCTCAACACACGGAGCTGCTCTAAAACACACTGCAGGAAATCTGAACAGCAGAGGCCATCAGGCCATCAGCATCAGCTGCTTGCTTAAAGGGGAAAAACAAATCAATACAAAGGGGGGAATTGCTGAGAAAGACGTGAACATGAAGAGATTGATCACAGACTTCAGTCACACTTTTACATTTGCACAAGAACAATCCCGTTTTGTCACTTTGTGACAGTGGAAATGAACAGAACCGAAACAGTGGAAGTGCACTGACACACCGGGACCCGACCTGACCCCGCGTGTGATCCAACAGGGATCAAGAAGGGTCACAATGTGTCTGCTCACACCCAGCATGTGGACAGATTTTCACGTCGACCCTCGTGTGATCCTAAAACTCTCCTTGTCCTGCGGGTCAAAAATTACCCGCCCAACAAAAAGCCCCAAAATGAAGCACATTAATTGAATTTTAAATCCAAAATCTATTTTTGCATGATGAAACAACCTGATATTTATCAATTCAACTCAATCTAATTAATTTTTTTGTCATGTATTTTTGTTACACAACACAAAAAGACGACCAACAGTTTTACATTCTTGTTTTCATTTCACCACAAACCAAGTGTTGTAGCAGTTTTTTTTCACACTGTAAAGGTTTATTACTGTGATCATATAAATGTGACGTTATTACTTTTGAATTAATTGTACTGAAAGGGGGGAAAAAAAACGTCAACAATTTGGAACTTTTTTTGCCAACGCTTCAAGCGAATTATAAAAATACTTCTCTCACGCAGCAAAACAAAACGTTTGAATTTTTGGAACAATTTAACGGCAGCTGTCATATGGGATGTTCAGCACAAGATGAAGAACATCTGCTGCTCTACATGAGGTGTGGAACATAAAATGAAGAACATCTTCACAAGATGACGTTCGTCTCCTTGTGAAGACGTTCTTATCCTCATCATCCCCAACACAAGATGAAGAACATTTTCAGTTCAACCTATGAAGTACAAACCCAAGAGATGAAGGTGTTCTTCATCTCTTAAAGACGCAATTATGTTGAAGATCTTTAGGGAAAGTCATTACATTTCAAGTTGGAAAAGGATCATTTAGGGTAATTTTTTTTCTACAGCTAAACATGGTGATGAATCACTTTTGACCCGCCAAACAACACAAGGGTTGAGTAAGAGGGAAGCGTTAAGAGCCACTTTACAAGAGCAGCAACACAAGTTTCTGAATTTCTTACCAAGGTCTCGGTGGCACTGACAAGTTGAAACCGGACGCCAGCTTCAGAGCGTCCCCTTATTTAGAGGTGAAGCTCTGGACATACGGCCAAAACTCCACCTGCACCACCCAACACACTTATTGGCACCCCTGGTGAAGTTGGTTGAAAAACTTTGAAGGGAATCAATCTTTCTTTACGGTAGCATGACCTCACACAAAATCAAAAAAAAAAAAAAAAAAAAATCTACCCTTTATTCAATGTAGATTTATACAGAAGAGGAAAACAATCCAACATTAAGGAAATAAAGGCCAAATTTAGTCATACTGTTGAAGTGTTTTGGTTTTACTAAGACGTCTCTTTAGACTGGAAGTAAAATTAACACTTTGGATTGGCCTAGCTAAAGTCTGGATTTGAGTGAGACCTGAAAATCTGTGGAGTTAAAGATTAGGGTGATGGTGAGGATGCCTCCCACCTGATCTGCCCATCAGCAAACATAAATAAATAGTCAAAATTCTGGTGGAGACATGAAAAAAAAAAAAATAATAATAATAATAATAGTGGGGTAAGTCTAGTGTGATATTAATAGAGATTTTTCCATCAATTCTTGAGAAGGGTAAACATATTTTTATTATGCTGCTTTTTCATTCAAATGTAAATAGTGATTTGTTTTTAGATACAAAAATAATTTTCTGTCACATAGGAACCTCGAAGTTGAGAATTATTTAAATAAAATTTTCCCTTACATGAAGACAAAATCACCCTTCCTATTAAATAAATAAAGTTCTGTTATTTATTTTCCAGACTAATCAGGAACGTTTAATTATCGTTTCAGCTGAGGTGTAGATATGACCTGGAAGAGGTCCACTTTTTCTTGGACACTTGTCAAAATGGGAAAGACAAGCAAACCGGCAGATGTGTTGATTCCCATAAGACGGCTTAGAGGATAAATACTAATGTAAACCTGCTCACATTTACAATCAGAGCAATAATTTTAGAGTGAGTAAAATAAAATTAAAATAAAAAATCTACTTAAAATAAGTGTGATTTTAAGCTTTGCCATAAAACATCTGTTTATTTGAAAGCCTTTCATAAATCTGTGCCAGGAATGCCAATAAGTGTAAAATGGTGCAAAATGCTAGATTTGGTTTCTTCAGCATAGAAAACATCTTCCCCCCCTCCAACTCTCCAAAAGAAAAAATTGCGTTTTAACTGCTGACGTGGTAAATGGATGTCAAAATAAAGCTGAACGTGACATGATACACAAAAAAAAAAATAAATAAAAATCTCATTCTGCACGTCTCCATGCTGTTTTAATCTGTGCCAGGCAGTTCAATGCATCATAATGCACTGTGGTAGAAACACTTAAGACATGAATCAGATGAGACAACAGAAATGTGATTCCAGTTTTGCTTATGATGTCCTGCTGTTACGTCAAACATGAGCTACAAATCAGAGCCGTTCCCAGAGCTTCTCACAGCGTGGAGAAAACCCCCCCAAAAAACCAAAAACACCAAGTCAAAACAGAAATTACGAGACATTTTCAGCTTTAGCTTCACTTCTCACAAAAACAAACAAAAAAGAAAATAAACAAAACAAAAGTGCCTTTGTGAGAGACTTCAGAGGCACAGCTTAATATAAGGCAATATGTACACATGAACTGTATTTTTCTCGTTTCATAAATTAAAGAACGAATACTGTACATTCTAATGAAACTGTGGCGATCGAGATGAAAAAGTAAAAAAATCATTTGAAAAGAACTAATAAATGGTTCATTCTACTTGAGTTTTTGTACATTAATTACTTGATTTCATCGCTGACTTTGTCTCAGTATGCAGGAAAGCTTCTCAAAAAAAAAAAAAAAAACATTAAACCAGCAGCTCTCCTGCCGTCCTTCTCAGCTTGGCTCCACCGTTCTGATCCTACGAAACACGTCGGCTATTAATGCGAAGGGGTGAGAAGCATATTGAGGACCACAGCATGTACTGAGGAGGCTCCAAAGCTCATCAATACTTATTAAAAAGACTCCAGAATCAAAGAGTTACGCGTCAGGAGAAAAAAAAAAAAAAGTGCTCTGATCTGAAGCCTGCTAAGAGTTCAAATGTTAGAATTGGTCGTGTAGATCTGATTTAGGTGACCATTTCTCAAAGATGAGGAGAAAAACTGTGAATTTAAGGAAATGGTTTCTGATACTATTGTTTCACATTCTGAAAGCTAAACAATGTTTCCTTAATGAGAAATGAACGCAACATAACACAAAAATGTACATTCTCATCTGACAAATGAAAGGAAACAAAAGCAGAACAATTAAATTAAAACGAGTTAGCCATTGGACAATTACATAGACACAGATTTTCAATACTAAACATTCAATCTGCCCAAAAAAGTAATGATTACAAAGCCAACAAAGATGCTGTCACATACATATATATATATACTTATATATATATTGAGAAAGTGAGATGTATGTACAATGATTATAGCATTTATAATTGCACTATGCCTCAATAAATGTAAATTACAGGCTTATGTTGCAGAAAAATCATAAAAAAAATATATACTCCAAAGTAAATTGAGAGTCGCATGTAAAGAGGTTCCAATTATAAACAAGAAGGGCTTTACTTTGGTACAAACTGCATATCAACACTGCCCTTTTTTTTTTTTTGCCTCTTTACGACCGACCAGATTTATTCTCCACTTCTAATTCAGCTACAACAGTCTGAAAAGCCGGGCTGTGATTGGACACAGAGATACTGCTAAGCTGTGATCGGACCGAACGGTGAAACACTTCATAACCGGCAGGATTCAGATGGTCGATCAACATGTCAGTCTGTTGCTCCTGCTCTTTTCTTTGCTCGGGTTGTTTTGGCATCGGTAATAATTACAATTTGAAAGAAAAGCTTCTGTGTGGCACTGTTTAAAGTAAACACTTTTAGGAAATGTGTCAGAAATCGAGCCCTGGCAGTCTGTGGAAGGCATCGTCACACCTGGTCGCTCAGACGATTTCTCCTTCTTGCACTGAACTTCACGTCTGTGTCCGAATAAGCAGTAAATGTGCTCAAATCACTGAATGGTACCAAAGCAAGGTAACATTGGAACAAGGATGATGACTGAAGTCAATCAATGGCAAATCAATCTCAAATAATTTAAAAATCACAGTTTATGGCAACATTACAAGAGACATGCCAACAGGTACATTAAATAAAAGAAGAAAAAATAAAAGAGGCTGTTGATAAGACAGATGTTACATCACTTCCTGTTGAGCAAACGTTCATGCCGAACCTTTGGAAAGGATGATAGATGAGGAGGGTTACAAAAAGAAAGGTCGTTTATAAAAAGGCAGATGTGATGAAGCTCCTTAAATAGCAAAATGAAACCCTTCGTGCACCAAGAAGTCAACAAAGGGCAAATAAATTAGTATTATGCAATCGTTAAGATTTTGTTTCCTCAGATAATTTGTAAGCGTGTATTTGTGTGTGTGTGTGTGAAAGCTATCTTTTCACAGATCGAGTCAGTCAGTGTTTCATGGAGGAGCCGCACTCTACACCAGGTTGTACTCCTTCAGGTTGAGCTGCAGGATCGTGTCTTTGACGGCGGCAAAGACGAAGCGGATGTTCTCCGTGTCGGTGGCGCAGGTGAAGTGAGAGTAGATGATCTTATCGCTGTCTGGATTCAGGTCCACAAACATCTTCAGGATGAACTCTCGAGCTGCTTGAGCGTCTCTCTGAGGTCCTGCAGAGGAAGGAAAACATCAGCAACCAGCTAAGGTGACGTATTGCTAAGAAGTCTGTTATGACAACAAACTTTACTGGATGAGAAGATGACCCAGAAATGACTGCGATATCATGGTTTTAAGACCCTTTTCAACTAATGTGTTAAGAATAGCGTAATAATGCAAGTTTGCCCTCCCAAAGACAATAAACTTTTGTAAAGGATGCAAAAGTTTATTGGAAGATAGTTTAAACACGACAACCAAAAACAAGAAACAAAACGTAAATGAAGACCACACACTCCCAAAATCATAAATATAATGCATTTTGACATCACTAAAACAAAATTGCCCTTCAAAAAATATCAGAATGATTATTATTGAGATCATTTTAATTCATCATGCAATCAATTGCTCAGTGGACAGACTTAATTGATAGTAGCAATTATTCATTATTCATTCTCTTGTTATCTGGTTAGTTAAATCCTTTAAAAAAAAAAATAAAATTTTCTTTTAGTTGTCTTTTAAATTTTAATATGCACCATTAAAGTTCAACCAGTTAAACGTTTCTGCCAGATTCCGGCCCTTTTCTGATTAATTCTAATAAAAGACGCCATGTGGTCTAAACAAAGTTATCAATGTAGTACAGCTACAAAAAAATACATCAACAGATCCAACAAAATGCAGCAAAGAAATACATAACACTCACAAACACAAACCTGCATTCTATCCAGCCACCACCAGGGGGCAACAGCTGTTTGTCTAGTTGTCCACAAGCAAACAAATGTTTCACTGCTGTAAATAATCACTTTCCAGCAAAATGTATGTTCTCAATGACTAGTAATATAAATGTTTTTGAACAGACTAAAATCCTGAAAAACACATTTCTGCATTTCCTTTCGATTTCAGTTTTCCAGACCAAAAACCTAAAACATGAATGATGAGTTATCTTCACATAAAAGGCCCTTCATTGCCAACTTTCAAGCAGCTGAAAAGAGCTAAGAAAAGAGCTCTTGGTTGAATGTGTTTAGTGCGCTACTCACCATCGTACTCTGGGAAGTAGTCGACCAGATGGGAGAACGTAATCTTCTCCTCCAGCAGGTCTTTCTTGTTCAGGAACAAAATGACGGAGGAGTTTTGGAACCAGGGGTATGTGATTATAGTTCTAAACAAAGCTTTACTCTCCTCCATCCGGTTCTGCACAGGGGGGCATGAAAGTGGGTGTGGTTTGGTGAAGGTGGGACAAAAACAAGGAGAGTTTAATTAAAGCACAGTGTTCAAACTCATTAGGAAGAGACTGTAATAAATGTTTCAGTGCACAGAAGAGGGAGCAGGGACAATGAGAGAGAGAGGGATGGTTATGTTGGTTAGATACTTTATTTCAGGGATTGACCGAGTCGATGACGTTAAAAAGAAGGGTCAGTTTGGAGGTAATTTAACCTGCTCATTAATCTGGTTTAACACCTTGACACAGATGCAAGACAAGACAAGGCGGCATACCAATCTGATTTTCTGTCTTTGACTGAGAGCCATTCGATTTTCTTGCACGATTTCATGTTCCGTTCAAGTCTTTTTATTATTCAGAATCTCTTCCACTCTCTTTCTTACAGAAACAAAACAAATTAATGTCCCCGGATCCCCTCAGAAATTTACCTCGTTATCCGACTCCACCAACACCTGGTCGTACTCGCTGAGGGCGACCAGGAACATGATGGACGTGACATTCTCAAAACAGTGGATCCACTTCCTCCTCTCCGACCTCTGACCCCCAACGTCCACCATCCTGTCCCAGCCGAAGAGTCAGTTATCATCATCTGCCTCATTATTACCGTAATCTTTCTCACTATGACTGTCCTGTAGCAGTCTGTATTGCAGGGACTCTGTTTCAGATCTGATGCAACACAGACTGCTACAGGAGATCCTTTCTGTACCAGATGACACATTTGGTATTACTGAGTTTTTTTTTTATGAATTTAGTTGAAGTAGCCGTCGAAGTAAAAAAGCTTTTTACTTTTGAGTTTCTACTTGATCAATTAAGAACATTCATAGAATAATATTGAAACATGAAGGTCTACAAAGTTATATGGCACCACCTGCTCCTCACCTGAATATGACGCTCTGGAGATCAAATGGATATTCGATAATGCCCGTGGTCGGGACTCGAACCCTCAACACATCCTGCTGGGTGGGAAGATAGCCTGGTTGGGCGATCCGGTCCAGTGAGTCCAGGTAACTGCAGAGATGCAGCAGAAAATGATTTCTCATTGCCATGCCATCTACAACATAGCTCCAGCTCAAGCTGATGTCCTTCTCTACTCACTATTTAGTGGAATCTGAGAGCTGGTACTCCCTCCTTCGATCATAACACTCTTTAATGCCGGAGTCATTCCACAAGCTCTTGATGGCGTCTATGTAAGGACTCTCCAATCTGGTGACCTTCTCTATGTCCACGTCTCTAACAATGTTGGCATTAGTCTAGTGGGTGAAAAAAAATTACTGAAAAACTGCTACAGACAAGTCAGAAACACATGGTAAATGGTAAAAATAAAGAAATAAAAAATGTGAATAATAACACACATAAACACACACAAAAAAAGAGATTTCTACAAAAAGCCAGTGTCCTAATTATTACAAGTTAATTTTCAATCGCTTGGAACATTTTATTGGACCCCAGGCTCAGCATGCAGCTAATATCTGAAGCTGAAATCCCAGAGGATTTTAAAGAAATTAAGCAGAAACTGTTGCTGCCCCAGATTCCTGTCAAAAGTTGTCTGTGTTTGAAAGAGCGACGTGATTTAAACTAAAGAAACTGGGAAATTTGCAAACCTTGTCATTGTTTTCACATAAAGTCTTGTGTGTCTAGTAGAAAACTATCTACAAAGTTATTGACATATTATTACATAAAGCCACTTGTAATTTACTTGCCCAATGGTTGATAAGAGATGAATCAACATGAAATCCATTGAAAGAACCAATTAGAGCTGCAGCTAACAATTGTTTTAGTCAATTTATGAATTTTTAATACAATTATTTTAAAAATATCTTAAAGATACAAGTAAACAAATAATTCCAATCCTTTTTAAACAGAAAATAGACATTTTATTGCTTAAAACGCAATAACATGGCATTCTTTCATCGTACGAGTCTAAATTATTCTGGAGGGACAACTTTCTCACTAAAATGTGCAAATATCAGCTACATATGCCTTTTAAGCACTGTAAATGACCAGACACATGGCAACATAATTGTCAGCTTTCATTTTCACTTCCCGTGTGACGCGAATGCCATCCTTTGTCCCAGACGAGCACTTCCCGTTTTAACACAAGAACACAAATGAGCTGGAACCTACAGCACTATTGCAGCACTACGAAAGAGAATTTAGACCTGCACAGTTTTCTTCTGTTTTTGTTTTTTGTCTCACAATCAACTGTTTCAGATCACTGAAAACATTTAATATCAGGCACAAGATAACCTGAGTAGATACAAGAAGCAGTTTCCAAATAGTGACTTTAAATAAGCGGGTGCTTTGTAGGAGAAAAAGGCAGGAAGAAACGATATAGCCGATAACTGAAATGAGGTCGATAGTTTTAAGTTATCGTGCGATTAATTGATTTATCGTTTATTGCGATAGGCCTACTAATACGACAGAATATAGATGCACATGAGGAGATATATTGTCAAACCACAACAACAGAAACCCGGTACAATCCAAGTTACGTTTGTCTGTCAAACCACCTAATTAAATTTGTTCATTTTAATTTTAGATTACATATAATTTTGGTCCAAAATTCATATTTTTTACTACTTTATCAGACTGCACAGGAAACCTAAACACTAAGCAAATTGTAGCATGAAACACTTTAGTTCAGAGGTCTGCTTTTAATTAAGTTGTATCAAATATTTTTAAAATACAACTAAAGATAACAACAACCCAAAAAGCAAAACTGCTGCAGCTCTGAATGTTACCAAGGTCACGACCTCTAGGCTTGGCTTCATCCCACTCATCACTCTCGCAGTGAATAAATGGCAAGTAAGAGGTCATTGCACCCGCTCCCAAAGCTACAACTACAGGGGCAACTCAAGCTAAAGAGGAATCTGAGTAAAGCCCAGCAGCAGAAAAGACGGATAGAAAAAGTACATGGAGTCTGGTTTTCTCTGCTTCAATAGAGAACACCAGACTCTATGGTTTCTCTAATGTGAGAGTATAGAGACATGCGCAAAGGGTGTGATGGAGCTCTAAGGACACAGGAAGTGTACAAATCAGCAGGAAATTATTATGGATGGCTGCTCCAAATAAGATAGACTGCAGTCTAAAAATATTCAGCCGTGCTCTGAACACTTGGAGGGAACTTACTCACTTTATCCCAAACCCTTATGATCTTTAATTATCAGTCATTTCTGTTATTTCTGCCCATTTAAGAGGCTTGTGGGAAAAGATCTCAAATACCTTGCTGGAGTCTAATGAGTATTGGATCTTCAGCGTCTCTGCAGCTCGGATCATAGCCTGCATGGACGTGAAGATGTTCTGATAGACGAGCTTGGTGAAACCCCGTTTGTCCTCATCGGAGTAGCCGGCACCGTGGATGATCCTCATCTGCTTGATGAATGTGCTCTTCCCACTTTCACCAGTTCCTAAAAAGTTAGACAAGGAAGGAAAAAAAAAATAGTGTATTTACTGTACTAGGTTTTATATGTCAACAGAAAAGAACAAAATTGAAACACTTAAGCAACATACACACTATTCTACACAAAGGCGATAACTAATTTTATTGCTACTATGTAGGGGTGTAGGCCCAGGACTAGCTTGTAAGCATGTATTAGTTAATACTATAATGGGAAGCCCAGATGGAGAAGGTGGGCCTTTTCCTGTTGAGTATGGTGTATGTAGGACTACATCCTATGGTGCTCCAGTAGATTATATAGTAGGCTGCCCCAGTCATTGTTGACTCATGGTTGCTAAAATCTTTATAAGTCCGACTAATTTTAGTGACATAGTAGGTGCAAAATATCAAATAAAATGTTGTGCTACACGACTGGCTTTGTTTGACTGGCTTGTAATTTAACAAAATTACAAGTGGATCGTCCATATTGTCTCCAAGTGTATTCTGGGTAAAGCTTGTCACCAGCCGTCCACCAACGTCATCATCAGTCACTTGGCAACAGATGGCAAACTAGCTAGAGCATTTTTACGGACTAGGTTAACATGAGTGGAGCTCCGTGGAGCAGCAAGTGAAACGGATGGAAAAAAGAGAGCAAGCGCAAGCCAAAAACTGGATGCATATTTTGTTCCTCGGAGATGAACCAAACTCCAGAGCCGCGGGTTGCCGACCCCTGCATTATGCAATAGTTAATTTAGAAGCCAGACAAAAACATTGTGAAGTGCTCAATTGCCGAGCCCTCCAGCCTGAAGGCTGCTGCAGAACACCAAGCACCAAAAACAGTCTATCCTATTATTACATCTCCCACTTTTGGTGGTCAGGCACACCCCAGCACAATGTAATGCCCAAACTGCCACCCATGTAAAACCCCACACTCCTGCCACTATTTGCATATTCATCCCACGGACTAGGATGATTTGTTCATGTGGCAGCTCAGTTTCTCCACCTCAACAGTGGGTGAAAAGAAATAAGATGGTGGGGGGCTTCTGAGACACACCTGCTGGGGCTGACCTGGCTTTACTTTAGTGACTAGGAATAATGATCAGAAGTCTTCATACTTCATGAAATGTCAGGACTTTTAAGCATTTTCTGTTTCAAGTAATAATTCTAAATTGTTGCTAAATTTTCAAGTGGAATAGGAATAAATACTTTCTATTCGTCAAAGGCATTTTTTGGCAAATGCTCGAATAAATTAAGTACAACTCATTTATGCAACACATCCGGATGACCAGTGAAACCCAGCATTTAAAGATCGGATGATCGATTAGGAAAATACGCTAACATGTTGGTAGGCACATTTTCAGACTTGTAGTGTATTAAACCATTTCAATGAGCTGGCTCTGCTACAAATCAGTCAAACAAACAAAAAAGTTAACTCTGTGTACATTGCTTTAAACTGTAGTAAGTTCATCTGGGTCAGTGTTTCTTAACCCTGGTTCTCAGTACCTAGAGTCAATTATGCTTTAAATATGTCTCTGCTCCACCAGACCTGATTTAAAAGATTGAATTACCTCTCCACCTGCAATCAAGTGTTTCAGAAGCCTGTTAATAATTTATTTAAGCCAGGTTTGAGGCAGCAGGGAAACACCAAGAAGATGCAGGACAGTGGGCCTGATATCCAGGTGAACATAACAATTTCTAAAATCTGACTGGTGCAACCAAAGAATACAGATGACGTTTAATTCATACCTAAAAGAAAATAATAATAATAATAATCTAATTTGTGAAAACATTGCATAACACATAAACATTTATGGTAGTCCTTGGGTCATCTACACTCCCTTCTTAGTTGGAGGTGATGAATCTAAACTCTGACTAAACATCGTCTGTTCTACCCTGCCTACATAAGAGTCAACAATATATTGCTGATAAGTATTTTCCCCTCCTTCGTCCACACACAGAGAAAATGGCAAAATTTGTTTTTCTGTAATAAGAATTAAATGGCAATACGACAAAAATATCACACTAGCTTTGTTTATTGTACACTAAACTTTATAAAAATTATGATTTCGAAAGTAATGCATTTATATTGTAAGGAAGGTTATACTTTATTTGATCTTAAGCTTGGTTTTGTATTTCTTTATTTTAGTTTCCAAGCCTAGATCAGTAAATCAGCTCGGGAGAGAAGACTAGTATCGCGAGATTCGTTGTTTTACGTTTTGTTTATTCTGTTCTTGACAGCTGGTGGTTACCTTAGCAGCCAGTATCTAACAGCTGATCCGGTATGTTTCTGTTGATGGTTATGGCACTCACCGCTCACTGCCCGGACATAGCTAATTGCTGTCTGTGCCAGAGCTACAGGCCAGAAGCCACACAGTTCCTCCATGAGAACAACTCGGTTGTCGTTGTAATTCATCTGTGCTGGAAGAAGTAAAGTTCATGCAAGAGACCCTTGCATGCCGATCTTGTCGTGCATCTGCCTCCGTCACACCGGAAACCAAAAGCACGACAATATGAAAATGTTAAAAGTAAAACTAGTGTCTTAAAAGTGTCACCCACTTTTCTATAGCCACATAACTGTAGGAAAAAACTCCATGTTTCCTGAGCATAGAGTCAGGGCGAGAACGTATGTGCAAAAGGGGGCTGAAAACAGAACCTTGTGGAACTCCACGTAAAAAAGAAGCAGAGGATGATGAAAAAGGTTTGACATTCCTAATTCTCGGCCATGTCGGATTTGAACCACTAATGCAACAGCCGTAAAACGCACCCACTGCTCTAAACAGGTAATTAAAATGGCTATCCGCCTAAGACAGATAAAACACATTAAAAACTCTTCAAAAGGCCAGATTCAGTGTTATAATCACATTTCCTATTTGACAGAAATAAAATACTTTGTACTGTTAGATCAGTCTTTAGGCGACAGAGCATTTCATCCATCCGTCATATTCATCCATCCGTGATGGATGAATATCTTCACATTGAAACAACCACGCATGCTAATACGATTAGACTTTGAGCAGAAGGTATTTTCTAAGTGCAGTAGTAATACGGTGTAGCTTAGTGCAAAAACTGTTTTTTCCTCTGATGTTATCTCTTTTTGGCTTTAATAGTTATACTGTGTTGATAAATTGCAGTTTTTCTGACAAAATTCCTCAAAATAATTGAGGATTGAGGGGTCTTAACAGATCCTTTAACCATAACCAGGAGGAGCTAACTTCTGAGATTATTTAGCCAGTGCAGCAGATGCTTCTGCTGGACAACAATGATACAGCCTGAAAATGCTAAAGGTCACATTATGTAGGAAGCAGAGATGAGAAAGAGGGGAAAGAAGAGAATAGGTCTGTATTGGAACTGATATCATTCATTAGAATAGTTACAAATATCGCCATCAAAAGATTTTCTAATATCATGCAGCCTAAACAGACCCGGAATTAATCCATTTTTCACATTCTGCAGCTATGATGACACGCCACAAGATTCAAGAATTTAACTCATACAGGTGGAGAGAAAGGAAGTGAACAAACTGTGTGGGTTTGTGTGTCCACAGCATCAGTGTTTGTTCAATGCAGCAAACTCAAATTTATGTGTAAAAGCAGAATAAATTCGCTGCATCGCCTCAAGCAGAGTTAACCTAAGAATATCATTCTACCCTCAGCTTTTAACTGTGACACCCTGTGTTTCCTTTGTAAAGCACTCGGTTTTCCGCAGCAATCCTACCAAAAGTTTAGCAAAACCTGCAAAGTTCACATCTGATGAGAAAAGTCTTTTTCTGAAGAATTAAAAATTGCGAGTAAATTTTTTTTACCCCCATTTGTAATCTGGCTAAACTCACAATTTAAATAATTGCTGCCCCGATTCTAAAAATCTAAACATCAGAAGACTGATTTAAGTATTTCAACACAAAATAAAATGTCAGTTAAAAATTTAGTTTTACTTTCCCCTTCCAGGAATCTGACAACACAGAGCAGCTTCAGCTCAATAATAGGAAATGGTAACATTTGAACTTCATCTTTCATTAAGCAGACTGTTTTAATTTTCACTTTCAGAAAGTCTCTCCTGGGACTAAAATCTACTCAACACTCAGTTTGAAACTATGGCTAGAACAACTATCAGAACTTCTAGACGTGTGAAACATTTAATTCAACATTTTTATTGCTTTCAGAGGCTTTCTGTTGCCCTGCTGATCCAGCCGCTTTCATACAAGAATCATGTGACATTCGGCGTTCTTCCTCTCTCAGTGACAAACGTGTTTGTTAAAGGCTGGTTACATGCCGATATGGACTTTGTTCAGCGACGGCCTTGACAAAGTTCCCACAGCGGCTTTCATCTGGCTTCTATAAGCAGCTGACAGTGATTGTGCAGATACACCTGCACCAAAATGTTTCTGAAAACCAAAAAAAACAAAACAACCAACATATAATTTGTGTCCAAATGAAGCAGTGTCATAAACATGCAGGAAAACTGAAAAGCAGTTCAGTGTTGTGATATAAACACAGCTTAGCTTAGTGTTGGTGAAAGTAATTATAAAACATGAACTGTTCCAGTGGCATCTGATGTTTTTGACACTGATTTCGTCTGTGTATACAGTTAAATACAGTAAAAGAGTACATGTGTTAAAAAGACAGCCATTCAAATGTAGGTCCAATGGTCTCCAAGGAATGTAATTTGGGCTGTACCACTTTTGTAAATGAGCCACTAATTTGTCAAAGCTTAACAAGTCGAATGTGTAAGAGACAATGTATTTCACACTCAACATCCACTTTATTAGGTATTTTTTTCCTGTTGTCTTTTAAATATAATTGGCCACTTAAGTCCCATTTTAACCAGGGGCTTAAATTGTATATTGTGTAAACTCCCATTTACACAATGTACCTGTCCTTTCACATGATACAACACAAGCTGTTAAGATATAGGGCTTCTGGGCTCTTTTTCATAGAGGTGTGGCTTACAATTTGAAACCTAAACCTGTGGAGGATTTCTCCAGCGTTGAGATTCATGTAGCAATGATCAAGCGCACCATCCAAATGCCTAAAG